TCAACTAACAAATATCATAAATTAACAACAAAAACAAACCTGGATTCAACGGGAAATGGTTCATAAAGAAATTTTTTGTAAAAATGTTTTTTAACATCATGGACAAGTATGACAGCTTTGCCTTGATCATCAAATTGTGGACGGCCAGCCCGACCCATCATCTGTAAAACATCTAGATGAAAAAATATCATGATGAGATAAAGAATCTTAAAAACAGTTCTATCAAAGTAAATAAGAGTCTAAAAACTTTTGCTTCTTTCAAAATGTTTTGTTGCTTATTTGATAAATTAAAATTTGTATTACAGGAGCATTTTCAAAACTGGCAACATGAAAAATGGAACTGAAATTGGGTGTGGTGTGGAGTTAGTACTTCGTTATTGTGTGCCACATTTATCGTTAGTGCTGTTCTCCGTATGGAGTACAGTCGGGGGACTCGGAACATGCTAGCCCGCCCAAATGCCGCTAGAGACTTGAAACTGACAGTATCGTTAGTGCCGTATAATTTTCGTTAGTGCCAGTCCCTCAAAAAGGATATGGCTGAGGGGGGGGGGGCTCAAGAAACGCCAGCTCATCCAAAAGCCAGTACTAGAGAATGCCGTTAGTGCTGTTTAGTGCCGTATTAATTTACATTTTGAACCACATGATTGCAGAACAGTGTTCACCAAAGATGTTAACAAATTTAATCCCCCATTGAAAAATATTTAACAAAAAAATCATTTAAAATAACAAAAACTAGCATTGATTCGAGGATTGATTGGTTTAATTTTTTTGATTTAATGCATATTGGTTGATGCAGAAATTAATATTATTAATTATATTTATTCATTTATTTGGTTTAGTTCTGTTTTGAAATTTGGTTTTGAAACTAAAAATAATTTTAATATTTTTAACAAAAGATTAATCATTATGAAGCTAGAATGTTTTATACATGTAAAAATTTATTGCAAGAATAAATATAATAGATGTGAAAATCTTCATTAATTTTAAGTTAATTTTTAACTAATGACTTCAATTTTTTGAAAATAATTTTTTAGTGAGATGTTGAAATGCATATAATTGATTAATGTATATTGATTCCATCCAACGTGCGAATCCGCGAAGACAAAAAATGTGTTCACATCGTTGTAATTTGTGTGGATAAAAAAAAATGTTAAAAGATGATCAATTTATTTATTGACCAGTACGTTCAATTAGCTTGTTAATCTAGTCCAGTGATTAGGAAGTTAAGCTTTTAATTGTTCAGAGGTGGAAGTTTGTTGCTAGGCAAGTGGGTTATTTTTTTACATTTTAGAGTTGAGTTTAGTGTATTTAAGATTTATATGCATATATAAAATTTAGTTGCACGCATATTATAGAGATGATTGGCTTAGTTAAAAATTTAACCTAATATTCTACACTTAACGAATATCTAATAAGTTCTTACTTATACAAACAGTATCAGATTGCTTGCTCAAAAAAGATTTTAATCACACCATGCATCTTGTCAGCTCTTAGCCAGAACAAGAATAACCCTACAAAAAGAGTAAAAAATTTTTGAGAGCTGTCGGATTAGTTACAATCTCACAGAATTTTGACGATATCCAACTCTTGTTTAGACATATTTTTGCAATCGATGAAGAGTGCGGTATAAATTATGTCACAAATTTGATAAGAACAAGCGAAAATTTACCTGACCCAGCATATTGCTTTTCACGTCAGGATTGCTCATTGATGAGATAAAATGAAGTGGATGATAATGATTTGCTGAAATGTCAGGAAGTGATGTTTTTATGCAGATACAATCGATTTATAGAAAATGTCATCAGCGATACAGCAGAACACAAAAGACTGATGCCAATGCATTGAAAAATTAGCAAGGCGATTTGTAAATTTTGTCCACTTGTTTGCTGTTATGTTGCCTTTATTTGATTATTCAAATGAAATTGAGAAATGAAGTTGAGAGCATTTTTAATGACATAAAGAATCATATTTATAAGCATCAATCTCCCCCAACGATTGGAAAAATTTGTAACAACTTACAATAATTCAACAATAAACATTGTTAGAGCAATAAGTAAACATATTAGTAAATGATACCAATAAAACATAACACCGAAGTAATTAGCACAATAAAACATAACACCAAAGCAATAAAACATAACGCTTTCAAACCCGCTAAAGTAACGTTATGGCAGACAATCACATTAACAAAAAGATGTCTATGGTTTAGTGGTTTGAAGACATGTGATGCCATATGATGAAAAAAGCTATTATATACTTTGTCCGCATCATGCAACAATAAAGCGTGTACTAACGCAGAGTATTACGGAAATGGTGCTGTATAAATAACACGACGTTTACATTTTAATTTAAAGACGTTTGGAGTGCTTTTGAAAGTCACCAGTGTTCGATGCTTAATAAATACAGTTTTACATGATCCTTTCGCACGTACTTAACTCAACAATGCGGCATGCACTATTACAAACAGACAGAAACAACGACTGAGAATGCAATAAATTTTATACAACATCTGATATCAAAAAGCCCTTTTCGATGTATATAATTCGAACTTTAGACCTGCACGTTCCAAACCGAATCCTAAAACTAGGTCTAACCAAACCGAACCAAACTCCAACTTCCGAGTCAATCGAACAGAACTTGAACTTTAAAAAAACGGTTCGATTTCCATCTCTAATCGCAACCCGTAAACACACTTGAGGCTTTAACTAACGAAAGTTTAACTGACGAAAGTTATTACGGCACTAAAGAACACCAACGATACTGTGAATTTGTGTATTTGGAGGCTAGAATGTTCCATACAGGAGACCACCAGTAAAGAAATTAAATACGGCACTAATGGAGCACTAACTCCACATCCAATTTAAGCCCCATTTTTAAATTGGGGGCTGGGGAATGCATCTGTGCATAAGGCGGGCCTAAAAATTTGTACAGTACATAAACACACATCTTTTACATATCGATGACCAGATATGGTTTGAATTTTTGGGAACAATATTATAAGTTGAATTTAGTTAAGTGTCGACATCTTCCAAACCTGAAAAATACCGACCAGTTGAATTTACAAAAAAACAGATTCCTTTCCTTTAAGGAAATTATAATCTAATAATAATATAATCCATATTTAATCTATAAATTTTCGTACTAAAACTGTTAGAGCCTAATTCATCTCAAGGAAAGTTTGAAAAGACAATTTTATTTCACGTCTAGTATTTGTTTAATTTTAATGTCGGTAAATATTAGATTTTTAAAATTTTTATTTAATCCAGATTTTACTTTTTGAGACTTAATTTTATTGCTATTTATACACAACCAGTAAGCGGCCACATGCCAAAGATAAGATTATATGAAGATTTACCACGTGTCACCTAAAAAAATTGAATTGAGTTAAAAAATGTAATGACAAAATTATTAGTTTCGGCAATCTTTGGAAGGCAATTGTTTAAAAACAATTTTAAAAATTGATTAGTAGATTTTACGCAAAGGATTATATAGCTATCCTTCAACAGAAACTGCTTCTAAGACACTTAAGATTAATTTAACTTTTTTATAGCCGAAACCGCTTCAAATACTCGTATCCGGTGAAACAGAAACAAATTATACGGGAACAAATAAAAAAAAAAGATTATTGAAACCTGTAATTGGAAAATCTACATATCGTTTCGTTTTGCCATCGTAATATTCAGTTCCCTTGACGATAACGAGATGTGCAGGAAAATTGACACCCCATGCCAAAGTACTTGTGGCTATTAAAACCTGGTAAAATTAAAAAATTTGAAATCGTTAACTAATGAAAGAGCTAGGTAAAAACCATTGAACGTTTCAAATGAGACATAACTTTACATTTTGTAAAAGATAAAACAAATAAATGGAAGTCTTTTTACAATATTTCAGTAAAACTTAAATGATACCAAAAAGAACATAAAAAAAAACATCAAAATTAAATAAAAAAATTCAAAAAATGGTAGATAAAATAATATAAAAGAGAATGAAATTATTCGTCTTTGAACGAAACCGGAATTTTGAACCTTCGGTCATGATCTCTGGTTCGACCAATGAATTAAATTAAGGCTAAATTAAATTAATTTATTGATAAATTTTAGTCATTTTGTCATGCAATGATAGGGCGACATAATTTGAAGTGTTTTTTTTATTTGAAATGCTCTGGCAAATAAATTTTAAACACTAGAGTTTCAATTTTTGATTATTATGTACAGCTGACGGTCTAAAAGTTTGAAGTGTTCTAAAACCTTTAGAGGGGTCTGAAAGTTTGAAGTGTTCTAAAACCATTAAGATGGAAGCGAGCAGAAAATTGAAATATTTTCACCAAATCGTAATAGTAAATAAACAAGTTATAAATAAATAAGTTTCAATAGGGAGTCTGTTTAATTTTTTTGAAAGTGATAATTTTTTTATTCTAACATAACTTTTATAATATATAAAATGTAGTTTATATAATATTAATTCAATCCTAGACAGTTTCCGAAGATGAATTTAGTCTTTTATTTATTCTTTAAGCAATAAAATGAAAACTGTTAAAAACAAACTTGTATTTTCCGTCTAACAAACAAGTGTTCAACAATTTGTCTATCTTTTTCATGAATGCCAGCATGGTGTAGCCCTATACCAAATGCCATCGTCAATTTTAAATTACATTCCATTAGACTGCTGGTTGTAACGTTCAACTGAAAATTATAATGAATTAAAATCATAAATTAATTTAAATGAATTTTTTATTCAGGTCCAATATGTTAATATCAAAGCACCTATAAATTTTAACAAGCTTTGCCTCTCCACCGTTAATTCTGTAAATTTGCTATATTTCCCAATTGAGAAACTATAACACACGAAGAAATTTAGAAATTTGGTGGTAAAAAACTACATCAATTTAAGGGCGGGTGATCCAATCGTCGTTTATACTTTCGTTTTGACTGCATATAGCGCAGCGGTGCGAGTGATATTATGATTAATGATTCTGCGTAACACATCAAGTTTTCCACATAATAATCGACGCTTAACCGAAAACTATCCGGAAAACTTTATTCCTGATGGCGTTGAATAAAAAAGCTGTAACAAACGCCAGTTTTTAAAATAAACTTCGACAATTAATTTTGGATTTGTATTAGGTAAATCTACCATAGGTTGCAAGAGAAAATTGACATTTTGCAAAACGTGCTTGGCCTCCAGTTTTCCATAACACCAGCCAATGTGACCACATCAATCAACCAAATCTAAATCCAAAATCTCGGCCATGATCCATGTTTCCGACACTTTTTAAGAACATATAAATTTGGACCGTACATCAAAACGCAGCCTACTTTTCACAGCCTATTTTTGTTTTGTTTTTTTTTTAAATTAAAATAACAATAAAATTTAGCAGTGTATTTTACTGTAAAGCGAATTTTTTTGTTTTGAACAACGTTAAAAATAACAGTTTGATTATAAACGTTTATACAAACACACAAACAAAAACCAAAACTACTCGACTAGCCTCAGGTTCAGACATGTGCAGCCACTGTTTTGGATTTTCTTCAGCAGCCAAATAAGCAATAAGATCAAAAGCTGTTAACCTTGTTTGTCTTCTACTTGACACGAATATCAAAACAGGTTTAGTTGGGGAATGTGTGATAATAGCTGTCAACACGTTTAATTTTGTCTATTTTCATTTCAATATCTTTTTGCTACCAGTTAATTTTTGATATAATAAAAAAAATTATAAACAAATAAAAATACGTTGAGTTATTAAATATAAAGTGATTTACAAAAATCATAAACCTTTAGTAGAAAAACCTATAAATAACAACCAATTAGTTTAAAGCAAGTAATTAAGATTTATATATCGAGTTATCAAACCTTGAAATATTGGTTTATTCATTGTAGCCATTCGAGGACAATAATGTTTACCAGGATACCCTGATATATGTACTTCAAGAGGCACAGGTCGAACAGATGGTCGAAAATTAAAAAGGCCTATCTTTTATTCAAAAAATTATGTTGTTACTTTTAAATAAAAAATTTTTCCAAATGAAAATTTTGGAAACTTAATAAAAGTAAACCTGTTTAATAGAAAGCCAATCGGCAAGATCTTTAGCATTAGCTAATGCGGTAGATAAACCAACGACCCGAATCTTCATATCGGTATGAGATGATATAAAATTAGATCGAGAAACAATAACTTCCAAAACAGGACCCCTATCATCACCTGATTATTTTGCACATTAATTTGTCTTAAAAGATTTTCTACGGTGTTTCATGTTTTGTGATTTTCAATTAAATATGTAGCAAAAACATCAAGCTGAAATGAAAATCAGACCAAAATTTCATTCAAAATCAAATGCCAAAAAAGCTTTCTAAAACGCTTGCACAAAATTCCGCTGAAAGTTCAAAACAAAAACAATGAGTTTCTTATATAAAGATTTTAATAAAAAACCAAGAAATGTTTAAATTTAAATAAAAAACCATGAATAATTTGACATCAGGGCATTATAATAAACAAATACATCGGCTTAAATTATTTTTTCAAATAATGACGGTAATGTAATTAATAATTTGAAAAAACTTTTTATTTTATAAAAAATGCCTATGCCATTTTCTATCTCATATCACATAATTTTCTAATAACTGAAAAATTCGAAGATTTCAATTTTTCAATTAGATAAATATCAAAACGAAATTGATGTAAATATAACACAAACAAACCCAACAAATGTATTTCGTCTATGACTAGAAGAGACACTGATTTAACATATTTTCTAGTTTGCCAGCTTCTACTAATACCATCCCACTTTTCAGGTGTGGTGACAATCAAGTCTGCTTTTGAAATTGCTCCCATATCAGGAACAACATCGCCAGTTAACTCCACAACTCTGCCGTTTTTTCAAGCAAAATATTTACTAAACAGGTATTAAATATTGTTATCATTAAATTACAAATAATAAAACTAAAGAGGTACCTTTTTCCCAATTTTTGTTCAATTCGTATTTTCCAATCCTCCATTCTTTCGCGAACCAAAGCCTTTAGTGGAGCTATATAAACTGCCTTTTAAGAAAATAATAATCTAAACTTTTCATAAATTCGTAAAAATATTAAAGATTTTGAAACAAGCAGCTTTTCTGTAAAATTAAAAAAATTATTAGCTGCAGTATTAATTTTTCTAGAATTTAAAAAAACAAAAACAAATTATTCAGTGGAAAAAAATCAATAAAAAAACAATATTCTTGAAAAATACCTTAGTTTTAGGATATTCTCTAAAAACTCTAAATATTGCTAACTCAGCTGCCACAGTCTTTCCAGACCCTGTCGGAGATCCAAGAAGAACATTGACATCTTGGTGATACAGAGTGTGAAAAACTTGAGTTTGAATAGGGTTGAAATGATTAAATTTGTATAAAGATTCTAAAACTGGATCTTTTAAAGCTTTTTTGGGAAGTGGTTGCAAATCAAGAAGCTCTAAAAAAAATTTTATAAATATATTAAAGTTAAATTATACAACCAAAATTAACCCAATTGAACTGAATTAAAAAAAATAAAATCATTGAAAGTTGAATAAATGAATAAAATTGTAAAGAATCATTTAAATTGTCTATATAATTAAATTCAAGCTAAATGAATCTAAGGACAATCAGTCAGGGCCGGTTAAAATAATAAAATATAAGGTCAAAGGGGAAAATAAGATTAAAAGTTTAAAACTCAAACACAGAACTTTTGAACCAAGAGTAGAAAGAACGAAAACAAGTAGCGCTTTGTGTAAATGAAATCTTTTAACAATTCATCTAAGAAAAAAACATGATTTTAAACATCTACTGCTATTTAACTTATGAAATGACAAAGAAAAAAATATCGGTCCTTTTCAGCCAGTTGTTTGAGTTAATTACAATAAACTAACTCGTATTCCTCTCTCGTATAACCCTAACCTTTGTATTTATCTACCAATTCCATTGCGGATTAATTTTAAAATTGGCACCTGAATTGTTCGCTCACAAAGGGAGTAGCCTTATGGACAACATTTCCATCTCGTTTCGATATCAAGCTTGAGGAAGGTTCGTGACAAGAACTATCGAGATTGGAAAGCTTTATCGCTTTTTTTTAATTTGTTGATGTTTTAAATAAATAGGCAAAGTGTACCGCACATTGTGGCTAATTTCACAGCCATAGAAAGCTCTGTATTAATAACACAGGTCAACAGCTGTTTTGGTGCCAGAATAATTTTAGTTATTTTTATATGAATTTGATGCCCTGATTTCAAATATGGTATTAGTTTTTTTTTAGAAGCTCTACTTATTGAGATATAACATTTTTATAATTTTTACAATACACAGGAAATAGTGTAACAAACTTGTATCATTAAAATTATTTTTATTGTAAATATAAACACTTACAAATATTCATAAACATGGTCAATAATAAACAAAATTAGCTAATTAGTATTTAGAAAATTTTTTCTTTTAATATAATCACTTTTTTTATACAAATAATAAAAAACATGTTTAATATTAAACTGAATTAACTAATTAACATATAACAATTTTTTTCTATTTGACATTCTGTAATTCATTTTTGAAACAGCCTTTTTCCAAATTCTAACAGTAATCTAGCCATCATATGTGTGTGTATTCCATCTTAATATCCTGATGAAATCTTTCTCCTTGTTTTTACTAAAGTCTCCCAAATTTTCAGGAAAACATTTCAACTGGCTTTGTAAATAGTGTTGCAACCAAGAAATTTAAAATTCTCATTTACCAGTTCAATATAATTTTTAGATTTGTGTTTATGAAGAAAATTTATAAAATTACTAAAAGTTTTTCGGTTTTCTTTGAATGTGTATTCTCCACATATGTACATATATATGAAATTACTAAAAGTTATTTGGTTTTCTTCGAATGTGAAAAAGTCAGGATTATTTAAACAACTTCTTCAACTTGAACTCATTTTACTTTTTTATACGCAAATATAACAACCTATAAAACAATACGTTTCAAGTTAACTACATCGACTCAATTTTTTGGCTTTTGCCTTTTGAAAAATACCTGGTTTTATGCTGTTTATACTTAATTTTGTTGAACCATAAAAATATTTATTGACCTTCCATATTAAAAATTTCACTTTTGTCACAACACTGAAAATTTTAGCAAGCTAATTCTATGCAAGACAATTCTTCAGCTTTTAGCAGCAATACAAATATAATAACTTCTCTAAATAGAAAATTCAAATTTATCTGAATATCGTTCACCCGTTTCCTGGACCGCAACATACGTACTCAACTATTTCGCTGCTCACTAAAATTAAACAGTAAGCCACGCCACCGTACGAACCACCTCTAACATTCTTTTGAGCATCTGGACGCTGTCGATCAATGGTCTCAATGCACATACTCAACCACATAACTAATGTCAAAATGAGAGAGAAAAATTAATAGCCTCCTGTCTCAATGCTCCTGTTAAGAGATGATTCACTCTTCGATCATATAACTCGTGCTTATCTCTTAAAACACTAAACTAAAAAATTTGTCATAGATCGACTCTGGCTTGGTTGGACTTGACCAGGTAACTTTTTAAAACACAGTTCAGTCGAGAAGAATCTGTTTACTGCAACGTTGACTTCTACTAGGTCTGGAAACAATTTATAATGGCAACGTGTACACGTTAACGTCCGACTATGGGGCATGTCCGGCTATGGATCATGCCTTTTATTATAATTATGATGATAGAGGAAATGTATAAACTAAATATACAACTTGTTGTCAAAATTAATAGTTAACCAAATTCAATAAAATTAACAATCAACATAGAATAAAAAATAATAGTACCCGTATGAGGCGGATGTCTTTCTGGTAATATAAGATGTTGAAAAGAAATAGGTAGCGTAGTTTCTGAACCTAGCCATTTATCGGAAACTAAACGTATGTAATACTGACTTGGCAATGGTTCAATGATTGGAATTGTAAAAACCAAAGTTTGTGGTGTTTTTGTAACAACCTTGAATATTTAAACATTTAGTGTTTATTATATTGTAATATTTTTCACAAGCATGTGTTGAAAAAAATAAGTGTTTCAAAACCGCAAAATGACCAACAGTTTTTTTGTATATGATTATAAAATCATAATGATATATGTTATTGCTGTCTGGATCTTCAATCCAAACCCAGAAGGGTTCTCCTACTTTGCCGTGAATTTTATCATTCCAATCAAATGCAGCTGTGAACAACAAGGTAATTTTTAACACAGTTCTAGTTATGGGTTGTATCAAATAATCAACATCTAATAAGGGTATTCGATGGGCACATTGTTTCAAAGAAGGACCCATGCGGATGTTTCGAATTATATGTCCTGTTGGAAAGACAAATTTATTAAAAATGGAACAAATTAAAATCATGAAATTAGTTTTTGATAAAAAAAATCGATTTAAAAAAGTGACGACCTATTTCTTTTGAGTCCATTTCACGTAAACGGTCTATAGATAGTCCTTTTTCTTCTAGTTTGTTGAATATTTCAGTCGGCACAAAAGAAAACTGTCGAATAGGGTTCTGCCAGTCCCACAGCCTTTTTTCCAAAACTTTACTGAGCTTCAAAAGACGACCTGCTGCCATAGACCACCCTTTTTTTAGGGCGATCTCAAATAGTGCTCTAGCTATACGAGTTGCATTCTGAAACATCAATTAAAAAATTCATCTCGTTACGAAATTATTCTAAACATTTATTTTCCGAGTTACAAACACGTTTTAGGCAAATAATCATATTAATTTTATTGTATTTTTAATGAATTTGTTTGCAATAAAAAACTCAACTAAATAACTTGCTAATATGTTGTCCAAATATCGAGCAATAATTTAATAAAAAAAGTTGAATAAAATAATTGAATAAAACAAGTCTAACCTTTAAACAAATCAATTTAAAATTAAGTAACATTTTAATGTGTGTAATTTGGCGAATTTTTGATCGGTTAACAAAATGTTAAAAAATAAGTGTGAAATAATATGTATTATTAAAGAAATAAAGTAATGTAAGCATGGTTTTCAAAAGAATGAAACTAAAAACGAGTTCTATTTTACCTATTCTTTATTGGTGGTGAATCCTATACTCTCGAACTAATTCCAACTTCATGCATAGACCGGAACATTTGTCGTCAACAAAAGTATAATGATTCGGCAGGACAAAACGATGCTCGTCAACCAAGAATAAAAGCGTATCTAGGAGAAAGAAGACTGGATCAAAACAAGCTGATGGCCTTACATAAACGCGTACTGGACGAAAACGTTTACTCTGCAGAAAAGACCTAGTAAAAACTTTGTTAGAAAAATTCAAACGCATTCCTCACCGGATACCCATCGAATCAACAGGGCTTAAAGCCGTTTCCCTTCGACGAAGCAGGCAATAAAAAGATGTTATTAAAAACTAGTTTGTTTGAAAACTGTACTTCCGAAGAATAAAAGAATTAGATAAAAGAGCTTGAAGTGATATTTTTAATGTAAATATTACTAAAAATGGAAAAAAATAAATACAAACACTTATATCCTCACTTTTAATCGCACTGAACTGCCTAAAAAAATAATAATGTTATAATGTACTAAAGGTAGAAAAATACATTTCTCCTCCAACTGGATGTACTAACTGTCAAAGATATGGCACAAAATTTGTAAAACAAAGATCCAATCTGTGCAAATCAGGACATAAACACCCCTTGTATCAACCACGCAAGAAAAAGCCAAATTGCTTCCATTGTAAAGAGGAACATCCCACGTTTGATAAAAATTCAGAAATATATAACTAAAAAACAGATAATCCTGAATAAATATTAAAATAACATATCATTTATCCAAGCAAGAGCTTTAATTACTCAAGAAACCATCATATGTAAAGACTAAAAATAAAATAATAGATAAAAGTTCCATTGCAGAATTCCATATATGCCAGTAATAGTCTCTTCAGAAAACAATTCGAAAAACAAGAAAACTAACTCAGAAGACCAACTGTCTCAATACATATTCCAATCCAATAAAGAAGATATAAAAACCAGCATTATTAGATCATCAAGATTCACTAATCAAAAACAATACAGAAGCAAATCCAAATCACAAAATAAATGACAATCAATAACAAATAATGATGTTAAAAAAACTCAATGGAATATAAGAGGACTAAGAAGTAATATTTCAAAACTACTAATATTAATTGGAAAATATAATCTCCAGATCATTTGCTTACAAAAAACCAAATTAACAGAGAATAAAAAGTTTGACATAAAAATTTATTTTTATGTCACAAAATTCATCACAAATTTTCACATTCTTAAATAAATATTTCCTCAGACTTCCAAATTTGTACAATTATTGTTAACATCGACAGACCAATAACTGTATGCAACATATAAATTCCACCTTCTCTTAAGATAAATCATCTCAAGCTATAAAATGTATTTGATAGTTTGCCTAAACCAGCTATCATCCTATTAGGTGATTTTAACGCACATAACAAAACATGGAACAGTAATAGAATTAATAATAATGGTAATGTCATTGAAAAGGTTTTTCCTGTACAATGATATTTTCTTGATAAAACATTTCCAACCTACATATCTCCAGATGCACTCACAAACATGGTCAAATTTAGATTTAACATTTGCATATCCTTCAATTTTTAATCAAATCAATTTTAAACGGGCTGATTATTTTATGGTAGTGACCACTTCCCAATCATTCTCTTATATAACAACCAACTTAACGTACACTTACCTAATACCTAGTAAACAAAACGGATCCTCCAGTCTGTCAAAATTGCCACAAGATCTCAACAATAAGGCATATCTTCTAATGTAAAAATCTCAAGTTATAAAGCTGAAACATTCTATATCTGAGAATATCCATAGAAATTTTAAAACCATTGAAAACATCACCGCTGATTTAGAATATTACGATAGTTATTTGACAACCCACCCCAATGAAAACAGACAATGGCACATCATAGCACCGGGGCTGATAGCTGAAGTGCCTTTAAAGCGACTTTACAACATCAACAACAATTATCAAAAAGATGACAGCAAATGAGATTTGATGATTGTTAAGAATTTACATGATTAAATGTTTAATATTTTTTGACAATTTTAATCGATTTACAAAAACAATAATAATAGAATAAAACAGCACTAACTTGAACCACGTACGCTTGATCTGAAACAAGAGAAAAACTATCAAGAGGCTGTCGTGATATGAATGCTTGCAAAAGGATATTTACCTGTTTATTAGTTTAAAAATCATAAAGTATCATGATAAATAAATTGAAATTAAATAAAAAAAATAACATATTGCCAAACAAATTAACACCTAAACTCAGAAAACAGCTTTGTGTTAATCACAGAGTAGAATTTTATTTTAGATATAAAGAACTCACGAAAAATAATAAAGCTCAAGAAATGTACAGGAAAGAAAAAGATGATTTTTTGCATTTCTAAAAATCCATACTTTGTCGTGAAATCAAGAAGAAATGTAGGAACAAATTCTAACAAATTTATTTATTGGGCAATTGGAGGGACTACGTAAAATACCGCACTTGAAAAAAAAAATAATCACGAAATTACAGCAAATACCTCATGATTCTATTGTTAAAAGCAGCATTCAATTGCGTGCCAAGTGACGAATATAAAGTCGTGATAACCGACCTCACAGGGACACATGAACGACGGTAGAATCCATTGTTGAAAGCAGCATTTAATCGCGTGATAAGTGATGAATATAAAGTCGTGATAAGAGCAGATAACTGACCTCACAGGGACATGAACGACAATAGATGAAGTTGCAATTGTGATTGTGGGTGAAATATGAATTGTCTGAGTTGATATGATGGCTATTTTTAAAATATAAACTATTCTGGAATGGTCAAAAGACGGTCAACGTACATAGCGGTTTTGGCTATGGAGAACGGAATGAAGATGGCAACAGCATCCTTGAGTTAGCTGAAAGTCACGGGTTTTGTTTTATTTTAGAAAGAGATTGGAACATCTCATAACACACAAAAGTGGACCATCAGCTATGCAAATTTATTTTTACGCTATCAAGCAACAACACCGAAGGCTATTAAAAAATGTCAAAGTTATACCTAGCGAATCGTGTGTCACCCAACATAGACTCCTTGTGTCGAACTGTCAAAACCTAAGTCTAAACAAATGCCTCGGAGAATCAAAACGTGGAAGCTGAAAAGCAATATTCATCGAGAAAAATTTCAACAGATTGTCGCAACATAATTAGACCACCAATTGCAAGCCAGTACAGATTGGAGTACATATAAAACCGTTTTGATAAAAGCCGCAACTAAAGTTTGTGGGGAAAACTGGCACAAAAAGTAGGCATGAACTTGGTGGTGGAATTACAGTGTACAAAATTCCATCGCTGAAAAAGAAAGCTGCATACAAGCAATGGTAAAAATCAAAGTCTGTTGATGACCATAAAATTTTCCGTGAGAAGAACAACTATGCAAGACGTCAAGTCGCACTAACTCGGACAGATTAGTGCAGTGCAAAAAATTGATGGTAAAGAAAACAACGTCCTACCTAGGAGAACTGGGTCTTTGGACGCTAAACGAAGATTGATTGATTGGGTGCCTGTCTAGCACGACGCGATACCCATAAATACCCATAGATATTATACAAATGCATGAAATAAATCAATTAATAAATAATTAAAATTGATAAAACCTTCAAAAAAATTAATAAATATTTATCAATGAACTATAAAGATTGTGAAAATTGATGAGTGATAAATAATTCTTCATGAAAACTTGAGAGTAAAACCAGACGAAAAATGTGCGGAGATTCGTTCGAAGGCCAGTATAGCTATTATAAGTATATGTATAAAACAAACAGTTTGTACGATGCCTTGCAATATGTTTTTGGCAAGGGAAGATGGATACCACGTAAATATTAGCATGATAAATCCATTGCCGAATCGTGAATTGAACGACACTTTCAATCCATAACTACCACGAAAAAGAGTAGAATGCAGTAAAACAATGCATTCTACTCTCTGCCAATGTGCCAGTCGAATCCCCAGAGGGATATGTACAAAAAGATGACGAAATTTGAAATGGTGGATTGTTTTTTCTTGATGCACCTTGTGGAACTGAAAACCATTCATTCTGTCATTAGAGTTCGTGCTAGAAGCAATTGCTTTTCCTGGTATAGCGGCTACACTTCTGGAAATGTGTAGAACGAAATTTGAAATGGTGGATTGTTTTTTTTCAGCCTTTAAATTGCCATTGAACCTCAGGCATTGAAGTCAGCATTCAACATTTTAAAACACTCAGACGTAGCAAAAGTCAGAACAGGTAAAATTATCATCATTAGATAGAAGAACCATGAAGGATCATTGCAATAACTCAGGATGTTTTGGAGGCTTAATGTCTGGCGAAGTCTTACTACTTGCTGTCTGACGATTTCAGTCAAACACTAACAGTATTTATACGATTTATAAGATGAAATAAATGCTTTCCTCAAATCGTGTTAGCTGTTTACAGAAGTTAGAACATGCGAGTTGCATTACTAAATTAATTAAAATATAACGTGAATTTTTATATTTTTAACATTCGTGTTGATTACTTTTGGTTAGGGTTAGTTTATATTTCATGAATTTTTTTGGCCTAACCCAGCTTTTTTGAAATGTTGACTTTATTGATTAAAATGAAAATGTCTTGCTATGTACAGAAATTAGAGCCGACAATAAACATTCGAGCTGCATTGATAAATAAACAATTCTATATGAAATTCCCTTAAACTTGTATTGCTAGATTTTGTAAGTCATGAACTGCTTTTGATCGATAAACAATAATTGCTGTTTAGGTTAAATTCAAAGTAATGGATGTTACGACCAAAATAATTTTATTTTCACCCAATGTTTGCAAGATCGAATAGATTACATCAAGTCATCCAAAATCCGATCAGTGCCTCATATCAACTCCAAATAACTGGAAGGGAAAGTACAAATGTTACAAGCATTACGAGAATAGCTATTATAAAAATGCGATATGACATTAAGAAAAAAATTAAATTTGTTTATCAATTAAAATATAACATATTTTTGACATTCGAGTTGATTATTCTTGGTCAAGTGATTTATAATCCTTAAATTTTTTTGACCCTAACAGCTCCGTTAAAATGTTGAGTAAAAATGTTAAAATTTACTGAACTCGGGTTATTTTTTATTTAAATTGAAAAAAAATAATATAAACAAAATTTAGTTTTATGTTCATGACAACAATCTACAGTGTATATTAATATTCAGTTTGAAAAATAAGAATCTTGATACTAAGAGATATATTGTTGATATTCATTTTTTGGGTGATAGGAAGTAAACCGGGTCGGCTAATTTATTTATAAAAGTATTTAACATTGATTGTGTTGCTGAATATCAAAGTTTAAAGTACCGGTTCATAACATAAAATCCGCCTAGATTTCAAATCATGGCTATCAACTAGTCTAACAGCTAATATATATTATTATATCCTCTAGAATAGTCAAAATGCTGTTCATATTAACAAATCATTTTAATTGCGCTATATAATTGTTATTATCTTGGTTTTATAATTCTATATTATTTGTTATAATAGGATATTTTTGTAACAGCACGATTTTTAAATTGGGGTTAGAAGTTGAAGATTTGCATTGAGTTATTAGCGATGGATCGTAATTCTGGTATTCATCGGTTATGTTACTGTTGGCAACCGAATAAACATTGCGTGCTCGAACGGCAACAAGTCTGTGTTTGAAACAGCTGTTTATATATAACAAATCAGTGAAACTATGGAAGATCCGAATAGCTTGACATTTGCAAGGTACAACAATATAAATAAAAGCTAAAACGATTGTTTAATGTTGCAACTGTCAGCAACTTTCCGTTAAATGCAGTTCATGACTTACAAAATCCAACAATACAAGTTTAAAAGTACACAATGGTAACAGAAATTTATTAATTACAAAGAAAAAAATGAGGTTGAAATGAAAAAATTATCTGCTTAATAAAAGTTAGTTTTGAAATGAAAAACACTCAGTAAGAATTATTTTTTATTTTGAAAACACTCCTGCCTGGATCTAAAGCAAATTTTGATAGATAACAAGCGACCTTCATTTATTCAGCGCTCTTTATCTATAGCATTTTCGAGCCATTGAAAATCTCAAGTTTCTAGAGTTTATAGTTTGGCAAATATTTTCCCACTTTGTTTCTTAGTAGTAATTGACTAAGATAAAAACAGCATTTTAAAGCAATTTTTCTAACGATAAGAACCAGTATAATCCAAAATACAAATATTAATCGGAACAAAGATGGGAGGATAAAAGTAGCCAAATAACATTTTTGATCAAAAATTGGTATTTTTTAAATATTTTTTATTGAATCTGTAAAAATTTCATTTCTCTTAACGCGGTTAAGCAAAATATAAGTTATTACTATCTAAATGATATTAAATATTACTATCTAAATGATAGTAATAATGCTTTAATTATGAAAATCATTACTAAAGCTTTCCTGTTCTTCAATCATGTATATTATTATTGAAAAACGGCCAACTCAAACACTGTCCGAAAATCAAAGACCTGTGAGTAAACAATTAGTTGTAAAATGTCGTTACTTTTGGCGAAACCTCGTATTGTTTTGTTTCATCAGGGATCAAATTTTTTATCGAAATAATAACAAAACAAAATTATTAATGCATAATAGAACAAAACAATGCAAATAAAATTATTAAAAATCATACTAAAATGTTTTACAATATCAAAATAACCTTTCCCCAACTGTTTTCAGTACCACCTATTACAGGAACCTGACAAGCATCAGTTAAATGGCTATTAAGTTCTACCAATTCTTCATCTCTTACCTAGCAAATAGGAAATAAATACCAAATTTTACTTTCTAAATATATTTGAATTAAAACTCTAATCACTTTAATTTGTTCAAACTCATGAGCTCTTGATATCATTTCATAAATTTTGTCATCAATAATGGTTGGATGTAGAAACTCGTTAAACACCTTTATAGATTGTTACAATTAACCAATATTATAAAAATAACACAAACAAACAAAAGTTATTAGAAGAGGAATCTTTTCAATTAATAAAATTAAATTAAAACAAACAAAAGTTATTAGAAGGGAAATCTAAATTTTGCTTAACCTTTTAATTGACAAGAATTAATATAAGCCAGAAACAAATGAAATATAAAACTAAAAATTGTCGTCCAATTACAAAGTCCTGGGCATGACATAGAAACTGCATCCACACTGCTTTTGAGCGAAAGGCTAGGCCCACCGCTTATAACTGGTGGTTGTCATCAGGATGGTTGTCCGGATATAAAAACTTTTCCCCAAATTACTCTTATGCCATCACAAAAAACAACAGCCCCTAGTCCCCTATGTGGTCAAGGGGTGCCAAGAATCCCTGGGAAGTATGCAATAGCGGAAAGATGTTGCAGAAAAATTCAGAATGGCCCTTCTATGGTACTTAGACTTGGAACGCTCAATGTTGGATCACTGACCGGCCGCAGCATGGAAATCGCAGAAATGCTCGAGCGTAGAAGGATTGACATTTGCTGCCTTCAGGAAACCCGATGGAAATAGAATGGTGTCTGTCATGTCAACTCAGACAATGAAAATTATAATCTATTCTGGAATGGTCAAAAGACGGTAAAAAATAATGTTGGAATTTTTGTCAGAGTACCGCTAGCCCAAGAAGTACTGGATATTAAAAGAATTAATTCACGTCTCATGTGGATCAAGCTTCGCATAGAAAAGCAAACAATGATTATTTTTTTCACCACAGACAGGCGAATCGGAAGAGATGAAAAATGACTTCTGGACTGCATTCTCTGACACCATCTCAACAATACCAAAATCTGAAACAATCCTGATTGGAGGCGATCTCAATGGCCACGATGGAGAAAAAATAGATAGTTTTGACAACGTACATGGCGGTTTTGGCTATGGAAAACGGAATGAAGATGGCAACCGCATCCTTGAGTTTCCTGAAAGTCACGGGTTTTGTTTACTGAACACATATTTTAGAAAAAGGTTGGAACATCTCATAGCATACAAAGTGGACCATCAGCCACGCAAATTGATTTCTTCGCTGTCAAGCAACAACACCGAAGGCTATTAAAAAACGTCAAAGTTATACCTGACGAATCATGTGTCGCCCAACATAGACTCCTTGTGGCAGACCTGGTTGTCGAACTAACAAAACATAAGTCTAAACAAATGCCTCGGAGAATAAAAACGTGGAAGCTGAAAAGCAATATTCATCGAGAAAAATTTTATCAGAATGTGGGAAAACTGGTACAAAACGTCAGCATGAACTTGGTGGTAGAATGACAGTGTAAAAAATGCAATAGCTGAAAAGAAAGTTGCATACAAACAATGGCAAAAATCAAAGTCTGTTGATGACCATAAAATGTCAAACAAAGGTTAACAAATGAAATCTCTGTATCGTATAGCAAAACAAGCAAAGCGTACGTAAAAAGACATAGTTGATGCTTCATGTATCAAAAACGACGAAAATGAGATGGTTCTTGAACAAGATGAGATCAAGCTACAGTGGAGAGAATACTTTAACCGTCTGTTAAATGAAACAAATCCCATCAATGTTTACTTTGATGCTCCACCCATCGAAGGCCCGATTCCAGACATCACTGAAGAGGAGCTTACAGAAGCGCTGAAAGCAATGAAGGATGGAAAGGCAGCAGGGCCCTATGGACTCACAAATGACATTATCATAGCATCTGGTACTGCAGGTATCCAAACGTTACTACAACTTTACCGTGAAATCTGGAGAAATTGTCAATTTGGTTTTCTAGCGGGAAAATCAACAATTGATGCAATTCACATTCTTCGGCAACTGCAAGAGAAGTACCTCGCAAAGCATCAACAACTATCACACATTTTTGTAGACCTTGAAAAAGCATTTCATCGAGTTCCTCGTGAAGCAATCAGGTGGAGTCTACATCGACATCTCATTCCAGAATATCTTGTTCGACTTGTGATGGAAATGTATACGAATACTAAGACTCTTGTCAGTACAACGGTTGGAAACACAGATGCATTTGACATCGGCGTTGGAGTTCACCAAGGCTCGATTCTCAGCCCACTGTTATTTATAACTGTGATGGAAGAAATCACAAAACCGATACGCGACATTTGGAATCTAGTATATGCTGATGATATCGTTTTAACAGCCACGTCTGAACAGAATGCAGCAGATGTTTGAAGATTGGAACACCAAACTCGCCGATCATGGATTCAAAGTCAACATCAGCAAAACCAAAGCAATGAACACAGGTGAACCCATCCAATCCACAGCTACTGGACGATGGCCCTGTTCAGTTTGTAAAGCTGGTGTAGGTAACAATTCAATCAAGTGTCAGCAGTGTAACCAGTGGTGTCACAAATGTTGTTCAAAAATAATTGGGAATTCATCTAATGTGTCCAATTTTGTTTGTCCTGCTTGCATCAACCCACAACAACAAATTCGAAATAGCACTGTTATTGAAGCCATTAAGGTAAAGTCAAATAGTTTCAATATCTAGGGGATGTTCTGGATTGTACTGGAACAGCTGAATCTGCCGTTCGTGACGCATACGTGCAGCCTGGAATAAATGGCATCTCCTTGCCTCTATATTGATGCGGCGTGACATCCCACTACCAATACAATCAAGACTTTATAAATCTGTGATACGTCCGGTGTTGTTATATGGTGCGGAAACATGGCCAATGACAACCAAATTGAAACAACAACTTCAACGAAAATGAAAATGCTCCGATGGATGCAACGAATTAGTCTGAAGGACCACATAAAATCTACCGAAATCCTGCGTCGTGCTGGTTTAGATGATATAAAGGACGAATGCCGGCAACACCGTCTGCGGTGGTTTGGTCATGTCAAACAAAGTGGAAACAGTGCCGTAACTTCTCTTGCAGATGTTGAAGTACCTGGCACACGTCCCAAGGGCCGTCCAAAGAAGTCCTGGTCGCAAAATCGAGCAAGACATGAAAGCTCTAAATTTAAATAAAATGGATACAACTGATCGTCTAATTTGGTGCAAAAAGTTGATGGTAAAGAATACAACGTCCTACCTCAGGAAACCGGGTCTCTGGACGCAAAACGAAAATTGATTGATTGTCGTCCAATCAGAATTATAATCATTATAACACTATTTAATTATATAAAAATTGATTATTTATTTATTACATAAATTACAGTTTTTGTTGAACTTTTAAAAGCTGTGACGTCGAATTCATTCCCAACTATGCATAGAAGAAATCGCATTAGCTAAAAATTAAACAAAAAACGTTTTTTGACTTTTATGAAACGCAGAAAAAAATTAAAATAAAAATGTGTTCCTAGATCTTTGAAATTTTGAAAATTAGTGAGAACTAGTCCGATAAACTTAGTGGTTAGAAAGAACGATTCTTAAGAAATAAATTCTTCTTAAATAAACTGTACTATAGTATTGCTATCTCCTAATTTTAAACATGAGATTAAGATGGCTGACTTAGGTTGCCTTTTCGCGGATGCGTTGTGGACGCGGTGCGAATAATGAGCAGTACTAAAGCGGGGGTTACGGACGTAAACTTTGCGTAAATCATTCTTTTCAGTCAATCATTCAGCCGTTAGATGAACGGATATTAAAATTTGTGTAGAAACGATCATATTTTTCTAGCATATTACTCTTAATTTAACTTTTTTATATTTATTTATTCAAATAATTATTAAAATTGTTAAAATAAAGTAAAAACCTATCAATTACAAGTATTTGCAACCACTAACTGACAGTGACAGTATACATTTTACAGAATTTTTGTTCAGCATGAAACAAATTCTATTATACTGTTACAGACGTAAGATCGAGAGAAGAACTAAGTTAGAAATTGCATGAAACGCTTGTAAATTAATTAGAAGGCGTAAGTAATTAAAATCGTTGTAAATTCATGTGTGAGATATATATCTATATATCTACATATATATATATTTTAATTTGCGTTTAAAGTTGTTGTGTTCATCTATCGAAAATCTTGAATCTACGGATAAACGAACGACGGACTATCGTTGGAAGCTACAACACGGTGTTGAAGATATAGCGAGTATTGAAGCTATAACATCGGTGCTGGTAGTTACGAGGTCGATGAGGTTACAACACTGGTGTTAGAAGTGGGATTTTCAGGAGATTACACACTGGTGACAGAGGTAAGATTTTGATAGCTGGAAACTGTAGTAAAGAATACCAGAACTGAGAACTCAATATATTTAGTCCGACAACAAAAGCTTGATTGTTGACAATATTCCGTATTCCGTGATTTACCTGTTGATTAGTTATTGTGCTGTATTGTAACGATTTTAACGATTGAATAAACGAGTGATTGATCATAGCAATACACACAAGTGATTACCAGCATTGTTTTTTTCTGATAAAGTTCATCTGAAATAAGTCTGTTCAGGAGTCAAGAAACCACGTAAAGAGAAATAACCATAAACTACAAGTTCAAGATGTTGGTTTTAACAATACAAACATGCTGTTTAATGCTTACACCCTTGAAAAAACTATCATTTAAATTATTGCTACTATTGTTATGGACCCACACACCAATTCATTCTAGTCCCTAATCCTCTAATTCCCTTTGCTGAAGTGCTGTACAAATTCAACAATACAGAAACAAACTCTATATATCTGTTTTAAAGTGCTTATGATAGATTTATATTCAGGTGTGTTAAATAAGATAATGGGATATGTAATTTTGTAATGTAAGTCAACAAAAATGTGGGCGAAATGGGTTAGAATACGATGTTTAAAAACATAATATATCCATAATATTTAAATAAAAATAATCTTTTCAACCTCAACACTGTCATATTTAATGTAGAAATGACTAGCAATTCTTCCAAGGTCGGTGCTGTGAAGTGAACCTGATTTCTCATCAAAACGAATCATGTGAGCTTTGTCTAACATTCGAGCACTAGCAACAATAAGTTCATGTCTATGTTTAACTAAACCTGGGTCATTCTAGAAAACATGTGTAAGAAACTTTTAATTAAGAAAAAATCACATAAATTATTGTGTTTTTTGTAAATTTACCTGAATAAAAGTAATGCAAAACAATAACTGATCATACTTGAAGCTCCGTAAATGTAATGCCATAAGCAAGAGGGTTTATTTTCATTCGTACAAACAAGTATGTGTAGCTGAGCCATCTAACACCCTCATTTACAGTTGTTACGCTGCCCAAGGAAATCTAAATAAACGAATATGAACCATGGGTTATCAACAAAACGAAAACAAATTTGAAATTAATCACTTCGGCATTGAGATGATCTGACAACCCATTAACAAATTGTGATTCAATGGGATTTTGCTGAGTTAGTAATGACAAGTAATAAGCCAATTTATCATGAGTGGTAAGGATAGTGCCATGGCCAAAAATATCATACTGCGGTCTACCAGCTCGACCAAAAATTTGCATTACATCTAAAATTCCGAGATCTACAAAAGAGCCTTTCTTTGCGTTATATATTTGAGTTCCCTGCAATTATAAAATTAATCAAATAAAATACAATAATAAAAAATTTTAATGAAATTCACCTTTATCACAACGGCGTGTGCAGGTAAATTGACCCCCCAAGCCAAAGTAGCAGTACAAACAATTACTTTAATGAGACCTTCGACAAAAAATTTTTCAACTAAATTTCTGTCTGATCTCAGCATACCAGCATGATGTATCGCAAAACCTTCAGGGAACAATTCTTTCATCTGTTGATTACCGCTGCGAATAAACTGAAAATTTGAAAAAATTCGTTTAATTTAATTTTCACAGTCACAATAACACGCACGAACACATATATACACACACACACGCATAAAATGTCTAAAAAATATAGTTTAAAAGAAGCTATTACTTTTATTAATGTATCTGATAGTGAGGATGAAGTAGATAATGTTGAAGATCCTAATATTAGTGATTCTTCATCGGATCAGTCATCAGACACACAAGTTGAAGATAATTTCAATAGCGACAGTGACATTGATATTGATATGAAACTTACTACATATGATGATCTATTGCCTAGTAGCAGTGATGAAATGGAAGAAAGCGATGAAAATGAAGATGGGTCCATCAAGTTTGAAACAGTGAAGTCGCCCAATGGTATAGAGTGGACATCTTCAAAGCCAGTTTCGAGAAGACTAGCGAGAAATATAGTTAAATTTTCTCCAGGTCCAACAACAACTTTTAATGATGAATTGGAATTATTTCATTGTTTGTTAGATGAAAATATATTGCGTGTGATTTTATTAAACACAAACAGAAGAATGAAAGCCATTGGGAAGAAAAAATTTTCTTTTGAGGAATTGAAAGCTGGTATCGGTATTATGATAATGATAAAGATAATTTATCATCTGTTCGTTCCCTATGGTGTCCCAAAGATTCAAGGCCATTTTACAGAATTGCAATGGCTCAAAATAGATTCAATTTATTGGTTCGTTATTTGTCACTAGATAACAGAAATACGAGAAAAGAAAGGCAAAAAAGCGATAACATGGCAGCAGTAAGAGATATTTGGGAAATGTTCCAAAACAACCTTAGAAAGCATTATGTACCGTCTGAATGGCTAACGGTTGATGAACAACTTTATGGTTTTAGAGGATATGCACCTGGTCGTAGTTACATGCCAAATAAACCAGCTAAGTATGGAATTAAAATATTTTGGGTTTGTGATGCTACAAATGGTTTTGCCTTGAAAGGAGAAATTTATGCTGGCAAAAAAGGAGATGATCGACAAGTAGGTCTTGCTGAAGATATGGTTTTAAAGTTGGTGGAATGCTATAAAGGAAGCGGCAGAAATATATTTATTGATCGCTATTTTACTGGTTATTCATTATGTGTGAAGCTCCTTGACATGGGATTAACTATGACTGGTACAATTATGCCTAGTAGACGGGACGTACCCAAGTGTTTTAAAAATGTAAAATCAAGAGAATTATTTTCTACTAAAGAATTATGGGAACACAGTCAGAAAGTGTTATTATTGTCATATGTCCCAAAAAAAGGTAAAAACGTTTTGATGATGTCTTCCATGCATACATCCGCATCACCATCACTTGAACGAGAAGATAAAAAATCTTTGGTTATTTTAGATTATAACAGCGGTAAAGGTGGTGTCGATCTATTAGATAGCTGTATTGAGGATTTTTCAACAAAAAAAAAAACTAATAGATATCCAATGGTATATTTCTATAATATTTTAGACATAGCGATTTACAACTCATTTATTGTTGGAAAACAGCAAGATAAGATAAACAAATTCAGGAAACAATATATGAAGACATTAGCACACAAACTTGCATATGAAAACATATGTCAACGAACCAATGACCAATCAGTGGCATTTCAATAAGAGAAAGTTTATTGCAATATGGTTTTCCAATTCAAAATCAAGCGGTGAAAAATGCATCAAATGTAACAAGTCATCCAAAGAAGTGTCAAGAAAGAAAATGTAGAAAATCTACAAGAAATAAATGTGAAAAATGTTTTAAATACGTTTGTAGTATTCATTCAAAAAAATCTTTAGTGTGTTTGTCATGTCAAGTATAAAAAACCATCATGAACATTTTTAAACAATATACTGTTTTTTATTGTCTTTTATTTGTAATAAAAATATTTTTATATTTTGCTAAGTATTAACAGTGAATAAAAGTATTAAAAATTGCAAATTGATATACAAAATATTGAAAAATACGAAAAATATAAATAATAAAATAAAAGAAATAATGAAAAAACAAGCAGTCTACACATGTAGACAGGAGTGTGAAATGTGATTGTAGAAAGGGTGTGTGTTTGAGGGTTAAACATCCTCCTTTTTTGGTTGGTTTGTTTTTTTTGGTTTTAAAATTATTGTTAATATTTTAAACTAGCACACCCAAAAAATTTAATTTGTTTTCAGTTGAATGTTCAATTGTAAATTTTAATTTGGATTTATTGACCTTTTCCAGAAAAAAAGAGCAACAAGACAAGCTGCATCAAAAATGCTGCAATTATACTTTCATACTGTTGTTCTTAATTATTTTAACTACGTGTTTATACAGCTGATCATGCTAATTTCTACAAAAATATAAATTTATTTCCATTCGCATCATACCTAATTATCACTAATTTAAACAGCTAACACCGTTCATGTTCAATGTACATCTCACAAAAATAAATTAATCTTTATTGGTATAGATCATGTATTCATTTGCGTACTCACTTACAATTTAAGCAATTATCTTATAGAAAAAATTTTTTGGGTTGCTGGTCAATTTCAAGGCTTATTATTTTAACATTTTTGGCTACACTGACCTGGATAATAATCTATAGTAAAAATAGTAGAAGTAATAGTATAGTAAAAATAGAAACGCGCACGCACACTTTTACATGGCATAATTTGGAAGTGGAAGTAGAATAATTGAATGAAATTTGAAAAAACAAAAGTAGAAATTGCGTAAAGAATTTATAAAAAATTTTATTTACAAATGTATAAATAGTGTAATGTGTGAAACGATATGGAGATGAGATTCGTTTAGGTCACTTAAGTTCTTCTTTCTCGTGCCTTATTTCTTGTACATTGGCGATCATCGACCTCCACTAAAACCGATCTTTAACACTTTGTTATTGAAATGTAGTGATATTCAACAAATGACACAAGGACTTTACAAATGATCTATGATCTCTTTTCTGCAATCATTCCAGTATTTGTTAGATTTTCCATTCTTTCCTTCCGCATGATTCGACCTAAAAAACTTTAATTGTCCCCGTCGGATTATCTGTAGTAATTTCCTTTGTTCATAACCTTTCCCATTCTAATTATTAACTACTAACCAATTTTCATAATTCTTCCAAAAACCACATCTCAGCAGCGTTAATTATTTTATTTCGTTAGAAATTGTCCAGATCTTAGAGCCGTAGTTAACACAGGAAAAATTTAACATCCTAACCGTTTTAATTTTGTTGAAATTCTGATTTTACTGTTGGTGAGGATGTTTTTCATTTCAGAATGTTGGTGAGGATGTTTTTCATTTTAGAATATGCATCCTTCTATTCATTTTTTGATATTCATATCACATTTACAACCAGAGGTAATGAGACTTTAGAGATAGCTTTTAAAGTTTAAATCTTAAATAAAATTTTTACATAAAATGAAAAATTAGCTTCCAATTTTATATCAGTTCGGTTCTCGAATAACCTCAACTTTGATAATTAAAAATAAAATAATAAAAATCTTTAAAACTTGAACTTTTAAAAATACAGATAACTAAACATTTTTTATATTATATATTAATATAAAAAAATATTGTACCTGTTTTGAAGCTTCATTAAGCCTAGGTGATCGTTTAGCAGTAAAAAACTCGGAGTGTCCTTTGATTTTACAAAATTCAAGTAACGTTTGGGCTGTTCTATAAGTTTCGTTGCGAGCGTGAACAAATACCATGACCTTGAATAAATAATAGTAACATCCATAATGGCAAATAATCTTTTATAAGTTTTAAGTTATTTTCTATTATAATATTTATATCCTTTAAATAAATCAAAATTTGTAAAATAGTTTCAAGCCATAGAATTTAAGAAAGTTAATAAAAATTATTTTCAATAAATTGAAATATCTTAATTTAATTAAATCGATCAAGCATAAATAAGCATGAAAAATTATTCATATACAGTAATAGTAAGTAAAGAAAACACATCAAATAAAAAATATGAAAAGTAAATTTCAAGAAAATGTCAAAATCTTCGTTTAGCGTCCAGACACCCAGTTCCCGAAGAAGAACGTTGTTTACTTTGCTATCAATTTTTGATGCCAAATTAGACGATCAGTTGTGTCCATTTCAATTTAATTTAAAGCTTTCATGTCATGCTCGATTGTTTGCGACCAGGACTTCTTTGGACGGCCTTTGGGTTAGACATGACCAAACGGTTTTGCCGGCATCCATCTTTTATATCATCTAAACCAGCACGACGCAGGATTTCGGTAGATTTGATGTGATCCATCAGACTAATTCGTTGCATCCATTGCATCATATTAGTTCGTTGAAGTTGTTGTTCCAGTTTGGTTGTCATTGGCCATGTTTCTGCACTATATAAGAACACCGGACGTATCACAGACCCATAATTATTATATATTAAAAATCCAGAAAATAATATGATAGATGAGGCAAATGCTTGAACTACAAGATACTTACATATTGCTTCTGTATTTTTTTGTTTAGTAGATTTTGTTAAAAATGGGATAAATCTTAGTATATTAATATCTAGCCCGATTCATGTACAAAATCAATTTGTTCTTGACGCGGCTATGATTGTGCTGATAATGATGATTACAGCTGATAAGCGTATTGTTGGAGTTAGTTAGCGGATGAAAGAAATAATCATAAGGGGTTGATAGAATTTAACCACCTTAAAAAAATTAAAAGCTTTTTATCACGCTTAAACCCCTAAGATAGCAATTAATTGAGCCTTCGTTTCACTCATGGATTAGCCCGAGTAAGAGATCGTTATGGTAGTGGGATATGATGCGAAGTGACACATTTATCAATGATATTCTCGTCAATTTTCAGTTCAATGGATCACCTTTGCCTTTGTAGCGGAACTGTCATGCTATAGTTCCATTCAGTTGGCATTGAGCAATTTCTCCAGATTTAACGGTAAAGTTGTAGTAACGTTTGGATACCTGCAGTACCAGATGCTTTGATAATGTCATTTGTGAGTCCAAAGGGCCCCGCTACCTTTCCATCCTTCATAGCTATCAAAGCTTCTGTAAGCTCCTCTACAGTGATGTCTGGAATCGGGCCTTCGATGGGTGGAGCATCAAAGTAAACATTGATGGGATTTGTTTCATTTAACAGACGGTTAAAGTATTCTCTCCACTGTAGCTTGATCTCATCTTGTTCATTTTTGTTGTTTTTGATACATGAAGCACCAACTATGTCTTTTTACGTACGCTTTGCTATACTATACAGAGAATTCATTTGTTCACCTTTGCTTTTAGTGAGCCACTCTCTGCACTGATCTATCCGAGCCAGTGCGACTTGACGTCTTGCATAGTTGTTCTCACGGAAAATTTTATGGTCATCAACAGACTTTGATTTTTACCATTGTTTGTATGCAGCTTTCTTTTCAGCTATTGCATTTTGTACACTGTCATTCCATTACCAAGTGTTCCGTTCATGCTGACGTTTTGTACCAATTTTCCCACAAACTGTAGTTGCAGAGTTCATCAAAACGATTGGTGGTTTAACTGTGTGGCGACAATCTGTTGAAATTTTTCTCGATTAATATTGCTTTTCAGCTTCCACGTTTTGATTCTCTGAGGCATTTGTTTAGACTTAAGGATGCGGTTGCCATCTTCATTCAGTTCTCCATAGCCAAAACCGCCATGTACGTTGTCAAAACCATCTGTTTTCTCTCCAACGTGGCCATTGAGATCGCCTTCAATCAGGATTGTTTCAGATCTTGGTATTGTTGAGATAGTGTCAGAGAACGCAGCCCAGAAGTCATTTTTCATATCTTCTGATTCACCTGTCTGTGGTGCGTATGCAGAAAAAATAGTCATTGTTTGCTTTTCTAGGCAAAGCTTGATCCGCGTGAAACGTAAATTAATCTTTTTAATATCCAGTACTTTTTGGGCTAGCGGTTCTTTGACAAAAATTCCAAAAAATTTTCGCTGTCTTTTGACCATTGTAGAAATGATGATATGACAGACACCATTTGATTTCCATCGGGTCTCCTGAAGGCAGCAGATATCAATCCTTCTACGCTCGAGCATGTCTGTAATTTCCATGCTGGGGCCAGTCAGTGATCCAACATTGAACGTTCCAAGTCTAAGTACCATGGAGGGGCCATTCTAAATTTTTTTGCAACATCTCTCCCAGGGACTCTTAACACCCCTTGACAACTTAAGGCCTGCTGGGGACTAGGGGCCGTTGTTTTTGTTTTTGATGGCATAAAATAATAATTTGGGGAAAGTTTTTACATCCGGACAACCAATCCTGACGACAACCACCAGTTATAAGCGGTGGGCCTAGCCATTGCTCAAAAGCACGGAAGGCAGTGTGGATGCAGTTTTATGTCGTGCTCAGGAATCAAATGTCATAATATAAAACTTATAAAAATAAGTAACGCCAGTAACAGTTTCATTAACCCGCAAAAGAAGAAACCGCAAAAAATATAATATTAAGCAAAAATCAGAATATAACTATTAAAAATAATATTATTTAACGCCCAACAAAAAAAAACTTTCGATTTTGTAGTGGCTTAACAAGAATCAAATTGCTGAAAATTGATTTTAATTTTTATTTTATCACTTATCAAATTAAATCTTCTATTTTATCATTTCATCATTTTAATCTTCTAATCATCATATTAAAAAAAACTGTATGTCAGACACAAAACTTCTTTTTTACTGTTTTCAAAATAGTTTTAAACAAAATAATGGAAAAAGAAAAGATAATCAAAACCTGATGCTCTTTTTTTACTTGTTCATAAACTTTATTATAACAAATTTCGTTAAAATCATGAAGTTGCTTCAGGTGGTTCAATGCTTTGATGCCAACAAATGTTTGAGAGAGCGGCACAGGTCGAAACCTCGTATCAAAGTAGAACAATCCAGAATTAGGATTTACTCGAAGAAATCGAGCAACATCTAAATAATTGGGTAAGGTAGCTGACAAACCTACAATGCGAATCATGGTTTGTGAACTTTCGACCTGAATAAAGCATTAATAAACTCAAAAAAATAAGATCGAAATATATAAAATATAACTATTTCTATGTTTATTCGCTGCAAGGATATCTAAATTTAATTTGAAAAACATAAAAGCATTTTGAGAGCGGTGATGTAGGTAAAGAATGAACAACTTTTATAACACAACTTGGCAGCGTGATTTGTTTAACAAAATTAAAAGTGAATCAAAAATTATTTAATGGTTCGTAAAATGTCAAATACTGGCCTGTCTAAGAGTTCGCGCAACAATACTTTCAATGACTGATCCTCGATCATCATGAAGTAAGTGCACTTCATCAATGATTAACAATCGAACAATTTGAGATAAGAGAACGTCACCAGTACTTTTGCGAGTTACAACATCCCATTTTTCTGGTGTTGTCACGATCATCTGAAAAAAATTAAAAGCCCAAATTTGAAAATGTTTCACTCGTTTGAAAAAAGTTCACTTATAATTCAAAAAATTAGTTAGCAAAAATTTGAAAGTAATTAACCAATCATTTTTTACAATGTTATATTAATTTGTAATTGGTATGTTGATGCAAAATCGTAATTTTTTAAGGTAATTTGTTATAATGGTTCTGACCACAGACGGTAAGAGAAATGAGCTCTTATTTAAAAAATTAGATGCCAGGCACAAAACACAGCCTCAAATCATCAAGTCAAATGGCTTTCCGCTTTTTTTCATACGTGATTCATCGTTGGGAACCTGGCAAAAACTGTTTTCACTAGATAGCTAGGGATGGCAGTATATCCTAAAGAAAACTCCGAATCTGAACCACAGTCCATTCTACTCAGGAAATAAGCTATAGGAGTAAATTTAAAAAATCTGCATTTACACTCAGCCTTGTTTGCTCTTCTGCTTGGAGCTAATATCAAAATAAAAACTTTCAGAAACCTTCAATGTCGTCACAAATCAACACGGCCTCTAATCTAAAGCAAGCCTTGAGAGGTTAAGGGGGCTAAAAACCTAAAATGTATGTAACAAGTAATTAGACTAGAAACGCTGAATTACGGTTTTGGTATAAATATTCCATAATACTCGAACAAGCGACGAAAAGTCAATATCAATTATGCACAAAAACCTGATGGAAATCAAATCAAATAAATTCAAATTATTTTAGAATTGACAAAATACGACTCAAAACGGTTTTGGAATAAAAAAAATCGTTAGCTAAATAAAAGCCAAATTACTTACAACTCACATTAAGCTTCCTGCGAAGTCAAAGATGAACACATTTATAAAATTTTCATAAAAAGATAGATGAGAACTAGCATATGGTTGATAAGTTCGACCTTTACTTTCAGTAGATGATTACATTTGAGACACGAATATGTAAATCGCCATGGGCTTCTCTACAATTTTTTCTCGACTCGTACTTTAAAACAACAGCAAATGTTAAAAAACGATTACAACCTCACAAACTATCGCAAACGATCTTATCATACCTTACGATGTTGATTTTACATATCCTGAAAAAGATCTTTTATGATAACCTTTTGCAAAACGTTTTTTATATCATGGATCACCATAAAACACGATCTGAAATTAGCCAAATTTATAAGCACTGTCTGAAGATTTGATTTATATTTTCAACACTTTTCTCGTAATTATCGGATTACAAAAATCTATCTTGCTTCAAATTGACTTTCTGGGAGTACTCAAAGTGTGATGATTTTCAATGATACATTTTAATATGATTTTTATTTTATTTAAAAATAATGGTCCTTTGGAAACAAGAATACTAAGAATGAATTAAGTAAAACTGACAAGTCAGTCGTCATCTCTACTTGAAACTATTAATATATTCAACATAGAAGCCCTTACCAAAAGAAGGGCGAGTGCTATTTAGATGGGCTCTTTTTTGAAAGGGTATTTCAACAAACTATTACTATTCAATATTTGTTAGATGTTGTGTAAAAACCTTCAGTCAGTAAAACATCACATGAAACAAAGTTACTTTAATATTTAAAAAAAACTAGTGTAAAAATTTTCATTAAATTAGAAATTAAAAATAAATACACCTGTGTTTCAGAGATTTCAGTTTTTGTTAGCTGTATATCTCCAGTAAGTTCCATGACTTGAACCCCTAATACAGACAATCTGGTCCCAAAATTTCTTACCATTTCTGCAGCCAAAGCTTTCATTGGAGCTATGTAGACAATCTATATAAAAAAATTTGAAAATAGTTTAAAAATGTTTTCAAATATTTCATTTATCAAATAATACCTTAAAATCGTTTTTCTTAATAATACCGTTATCTAAATGCATTCCTAATTCTCTTAAAATTGACAACATCGCAATATTAGTTTTTCCAGCTCCAGTTGGAGCACATATCAACAGATTTTCATTGGATGTGTAGGCGATTGGGTAAACAATTGACTGAATGAGGTTCAAAGTTTTTATGCCTTTGAAGACCAACTGTCCAATCTAACAGGAATAAACAAATACAAATACCTGAACTTTAGTTTTTTTATGTATTTAAAATCAGAATAAAAAACTATATTTTCATTTATTAATTTACATCTAAATTTTTAAAAATGCTTGAATTGAAAATTAAATAAAAACATAGATGTCCAATCTAACAGGAATAAACATATACAATTACTTGAACGTAATTAAGTTTTTTTATGTATTTAAAATCAGAATAAAAAGCTATATTTTTACAGTTTATATATAAACTATATTAATTTATATCAAACTGACCAGAGGGCCATAACAGACCACTTATCTAGTCAGAGAAAAGAAAAAACAACTTCCAAAAGAATAAACGCATATCAATGAATGCAAGATGCAAGATATTGTTATAACCGACCCCTTGAACTTGTAGGGTATGGTTATTTCTCTCTACGTGGATTCTTGATTCTTAAGCAGACTTATTTCAGATGACGTTGTTAGAAAGAAAACAAGGCATGTATTGCCGTAATCGATCACTCGTTTATTCGATCGTTGAATCGTTTGAATACAGCACTTCTTAATTAAATTATCAAGCGCTTCACTTAATTTCTGCAACTAAAACTAAAACTACCAATTCTTATCTCGCCCTCACGTCTGTAACAATATTAACAAACAGAAATCATCGCATAATAATACAAATAATGAATGAGGCAACATAACAATATTGAGATAAATACTTAATAACTGTAAGATTACAATAGAATTTGATGTTTATTTATGCACAAGAGTAAATATTAAACATGTAACAAATAACATTGTGGGGGTTATAAAAAAATTTAGTTTGATGGTTATAATTAATGGGCAGATGACGATGGTAGAATGGTGAAAATGTTAAATCGACAAAATTTGATGAGCACATAATACGAAAAGATAATAATTCGTAATGAGACAACATTAACATTAATAGTTAGATTATAGTCAAAAATTTTTTTAAGTCAAGAGATAGATGATTTTTGAAAATAGCAAATGAAGCTGAGGAAACCATTTCTGCCGGTAAAGCGTTCCATATACGGATAATCCTGTTACAGTAGAAATATTTTGTTGCATTGAAATCCTGCAATCGGCATTGATGACCCTAAGTTGACAAATAACGTGAAGGTATGAAATGACTGGTTAGGTCAGTTTCGATAAGGTTGTGTAGTAATTTGTACAACAGACAAAGATCGAAAATTAATCTACGACTTTCAAGTGTTCGTAATCCAACTGCGTGTATTCTAGACGGATATGGAAGATGACATACTGACGGGATGAATTTGGTAAATCTTCTTAGGACACTTTCAATCTTGATCACTTGATACTTGTAGTGCGGACTCTATGCTGGTGAGCAATATTCTACTAGTGTGTGCAGAAAGTTTACGTAAGTAAATGTTTATCTCTGGATATGAAACATCTGATGATGAGAAGTGCACTTGTGATCAATTTGTTTTGTTTTCTAAAAGAACTAGTGATCAATTTGTTTTCTAAAAGAAAAGTCAATCATTTTTACGTTGATGATTTTTTCCATTACTCTACAACTTGAACTGGTGAGAGATTTGTCTGAAGTTACTTGGGTAATTGGTAGGACCCTTTTCATAGAGGAGTAACAATTGCTGTTTTACCATTTGGTAAGCAATAAATTGCTTTTAAATGTTAAATCGAAAATGAGACAAAGTGGAACTGATGGCTCATCTTGAGTATAATATTAGGTATGCCATCTGGACTAGCTGATGTTGAATTTTTTAAGTTTCCTAAAGTTAAAAATACTGTGCAAGGTGTGAAAAGTATATCTTCTAGTAACCTTGTGGAAAGACGAGGTAGGAGATAGTTGTCGCTGATGTCATTTGTAAATACGGAAGCAAAATAGTCGTTACATGCATTAGCTATAACCAACGGATCGTGTGTTACATTACTGTCATCTAATCTTAAACTGCTAACATGGGGTCGCGAAAACAATTTGTACTTCTGACATTAGATTTAGAAAGTAGTTTTTGTTCGTAGATTTTTTTTGTAATGGTTTGCTAGAATGGAACATTTTTGTGACATTGTCAAGTTTTCTATAATTAGTTTCTATTTTTCCAAAAGTGATTGATTTTATAAGATAAACAAACCTGATTAGGAACCGGATATTTATGCATTGTATTCTTCGGATGAATTTGGGGAATATAGGTCTCCTAACAAGTATTATCTATATCTATTATTTTTTAAAAACTGTTTCATCAATGCTTGAATTTAAAATTAAATAAAAACATAGATGAAATGAAACAGTTTAGTTTTAGCATTCCTGTGCACCCGAAAAATTTTTTTTCCATATTTTAATACAAAATATTATTATTATTATTGAGTACAAAATATTATAAAAATATTAATGCTGGTGTCCACTGGCTATGAGGCGCGTCCACCACCTGGGATAGAGGAAACCTTCTAGGATTGCATCGAATAATACAAAATAAAATGCCGCGAACCAGAAGAAAGAAAAAAGCGGAGGATCCTAGGACAACGGCTTCGATTATAAATCCACTGCTTTGTGGAAAAAGGACTTTTGACCCAAAGGCTAGGTGCACTCCTTACAACAGTGCTCTCTTGGGCACGAGATAAACTAAACTTTGGCCAGCACAACAGCCGGTAACACGAATGAGTTTGATTTAAAGTCGGCGTCCATCAGGGATCAATATTCAGCCCCCTGCTCTTCATCACGGTGATGGAAGAAATAACCAAACCGATACGCTCAGATAACATATGGAATGTGATATATGCAGGTGATATAGTCCTGATGGCGGCCTTGGAACAAGACGCAGCCGGAAATTTGAGGTCTGGAATACCCAGCTTACAATGTCAGCAGTGGTGACAAAGACGATGCTCGAGAATTACCGGCTCACTAAGGAAAGTGACTGATTTCGTATACACCACCTGCATCAACCCGCGGCAACGAAGCCAAGATAATAATACAATTACCGGGATCGAAACTGTTACTTTATTTCAGTATTTGGGAGATATGCTGGAATGTACAAAAACAGCTGATGCCGCCGTTCGTGGACGCATACGTGCGGCGTAGGGCAGATGGCACCTTCTTGCCTTGGTACTGATGCGACGTATAGCATTCCTCTACCGCTGCGCTAAGAACAATACAACACAGCTATACGTTCTGTTCTAATGTATGGTGCAGAGACGTGGCCGATTTTGTACTCCAACATTACATTTTACATTTTTAAATTTTGTATTTTGTGAGAGATTTCAATTTTTTTATTTATATTTTGTGTTTTAGTTTTCTGCTTAGTTTTGTATGATTTTAAATTTATAAGTGGCAAAAAATGGGCATGTGTATTAAATAACGCTAGTAACATAACGCTAAAGTGAGTTAAGCCTAGCACACTAAACTGTAGCAGACATTGATTGAAGCAGTCATAAAATTTTGTTCTTGTCCCGTCTACCGTCCGCCCCACGTAGTTGGTTTTTGAAGTCCATCAAAAATAGAATTCTGAAAAATTCTTAATTTTACTATTACGATTATTGTAATCTTTTTCTTTCCTACCTTTTAATTTAACTTCAAAAAGCTCAAAATAGAGTTGCAAAAGTTGTTTTAAATATCAGTAATTTATCATTCAACTACATTGGTTACCAGTATATCACCGCATTATATTTAAACTCGCCTTCCTCACGTACATGTTACTTAATACATCTCAACCATCATATCTTCATCGACTCGTCAACTTCGTTCGTCTTTATATAGTTGCATAATCCTGTCAGCAATTCATCAGTTGTCAACAAATGTTTTACGTACAGCTCTCCTTCCATATGGAATGGTTTGCCCATTATTATTCGTCAAAAACCAACCATAAAACATTTCAGGAAACGATCAAAGAACTTTTTGTTTATCCAGGCCTACGGAAATGTCAAAAGTCATTGTTTATCGAAGCAGCGTTCCTAAAGCTATGTATAGGACGCGTTATAATTTTTATTAATACAACAACAACACACGTTTAGACGACATTTTCCCCGTTTGTCTACCTATGATGAAACCGAAATACCCCTCGACGCCATTCTGCCGGATACTGAGGGCCATTGTCACTTCTGTCATCATAAGTAATTTATTTGGCTAATTTTTAAGCAGGACGCCCTTCCTTACGCAACCACAATTATAAGCGGTGGGCCTAGCTTTTGATGATCCAACATCACTCGCAAGGCAGTGAGGGTCAGTTTAATGTCATAACCAGGACAGTATAATTTTTATTAATAATAATAGTAATAAGATAATAATTGCAGTAATGTATATAATTTAGTTTTCTGCTTAATTTTATTATATATTATATATTAGTTATATAATATGTATATATATATATATATATATATATAAATATATATGTTGGTAATAGACCATAATTTTTACAATATTCTATAAATTCTACCGAATGTTTGGCGTTAATATGTTTGTAGTTCGTTTTTTCGATTTTTCTCACTAAAGTTTTTTGGTGAACGTTTAGTTTATTAAAATTCAAAATAAACTTATTTTTCGAATTCATGCTGCAAATAAGGCCATATTTCGATTCCGAATGAATCATCGTCAGTGCTCCTTGCTGTATATATAGACAAATATTGACTTTGTCAAGATTAACTTTGACGTTGTAAAAATTAACACCAAAGTTATTGCTAACGTTTATATTAAAAAGAAAATTTTTACTAGTTGTCTTTTCAGTTACATCTTGATACCACGCTGACTAAATAACCTAACCAAGTGATAGACGATAAAATAACAGAACAGAATTAAACCTAAAATCTGTACACAGAAAACGCTTAAGAAAAGATATTGAATATTCGTTAATTCGCAAAAATTTTACCTCAAGCACTTTAAAAGAAACAAAAAAAATTAAACTAAACTAATGAAACCACAAAAAAATCTACAGATTTTAACAAATTGGATTTCATCAGCATATTAAAACTGCATGCAGTTTTTCAAGCCTGAACAATGCTGACTAATACAACTAATCAATCAATCAATCTTCGTTTTGCGTCCAGAGAACCGGTTCCCCGAGGTAGGACGTTAACTAATACAACTGCTAGTGACGCAATACATAAGAAAGCAGTAATAGTTACGTGATCTTCCCACAACAGATAAAACCCATGCTTGAATTTCACAAATTTCATGATTTCATTGGGCAGCAAGATGGTGTAAAAGTTATCGGCGCTCGGTCATGCTGTTGCGATGTCTGGGTTCGAATACAATGCCCATGCCTATCATATGCAATGTGTGTGATGCGTGGTTTTCATGCGTATTCATATACGTTGTGTGTCTGTCGTTGAAACTTCGACAGACTATTAGGTGCTGGTCACGTTATGTATGTTGTTGATACATCAAAGAATTCCTATTAATCACCTTTACCTTTATTTTTTTTTTTTAACATAAGAAATTCCGGACAACTTTTTGTAATGTTGCTGAACCTAATCGTTTTATTTGTTTAAACAAATTCTTTAACGGTATGGTGGTATTAAAGGATGATTGTATATCGCTAATTTTCTAAAAAACACGATCTTAAAAAATTTTGTAGAAAAATAAAAAATTTTTTAAATTAATTCACGAAGTCGGATATTTTTTATCCGACTCCTCAAAAAATATCCGAATACGGCTATTCCTTCAACTCTGTAAAAACCTTCAACTCTGATAAACTACAAAACTGCTTTCAAAAGTCAATATGTAGTTTAAATCTAGACAGTTCCTTAAATTCGTTACTTTAGATAAAACGAAATTGGTTGACAAAACAAACTTTTGAATAAAATTAAAAATCAAAAAACTTCGTCTAGTTCCTGGATAGAAACCATGTCTACATAATGTACTGGTGAAAGTGGAACGTGAGGAATTGTGATTTCTTCACATTTTTCATTGCTCTCATGCTCAAACCCATCCGGAAGAATCAACTGAAAAAATAAAAACGTGAAATATAACCTATACTCACATACACTCCGACTCGCACATATACACTTTTATATGTATTAAATGTTTTGGTTTAACATTGCCTGTAGTTCTGCCCTATTTTCATGTAAAATTAAATACGAGGCGTTTCATCTAATTAAAATGAAGAGATGGGCGTCGGTGTTCGATAACATAATGTTGGAAATTAATGACTGAAGACTAGTTGTACACCATTAATGTTTACAAAAGATAAAACATACAAATACAATTCTACTAAATTTATTTTTACAAATTTTCGCGTTTTCAAGCATATCTATTGTAAAAAGATTAATAGTTTGTAATTTTTTATCACATGAACTTCAGTATTTTTACATTAGCTTGCCTTTTTGATAGACCGTACCAATTTTTGCACCTTTGTGTCCTAGTAATGAAAATGATTGAATGTTTAACTTTTCCAACAGTTCATCTTATTATAGTAATTGCTAAACTTTTTTTCCTTTTTAAATAATCAAAATAGTAATAATCCTATTTTGCATCAAAAAAGCCTTTGGCGAATAAAATTTAAATGTAAGCAATGTATCAACAAAATGCTACCTTTATATTTATGCCAAATTATCCCCTGCTGTAAATATATATCTGCATATACATACATATATAACCAAATTCTTATCGTTATTATATTATTTATTTTATAAACGTTAGATATAGTTGTGTTAAATATACAGTTTTCCAATTCATTCTCGAGCGTATAGGACCGATTTCGATTTTTCAATCATCTTCAGCACTTGATGCTGTTTATCTAGAAAATTTGTACAATCAAGTACTTGTTGCAGTTTATATAAGGGATTTGTATAACCCAGGGCTTTATTTCTGTGATTTCCATTTATCATTATTATTGACTTTGTTAATTTTACTATCTTTTTTATTAATTGATATGATTTCTTTGTAAGGACTAATTACTGTGGTACTATGTCTTATTGTTTCGGTGATGTTTTATTGCTTTGATAGCATTGGTCGATGTTGCATTCTTCAGTGTCTTCATCGTTACCATTATTGTTGTTATTGTTTTATTATAGTCATTCTTGTTGGGAGTATTGTTGAAATCTTTTGTTGTAGCAATAAAACATAGCACCAAAGTAATTTGCTCGAACAAAGAAAACATATCAATTAATAAAGATAGTAAAATTAACTCCGGCTACTGATGAGTCCTACAAGGGACAAAACGCGACTAGCCTAAAACAAGTTAGGTGTTCACAAAAATGCACCTTTCGTCGTGGTTGGGAGATGGTATACATTATGTACTGGCCTGTGTTATAAGTAGTTTAGGTGTATATTTCTTAAAAAAGATAAAGAATTTTCGAAAAATTGAAAAACTTAGTTACAAACTCAACAATGAAGAAAATGCGGTTATTATTATTATTAGAAAATTTATATAGCGCCCTTTAACGCAACTCAAAGGCGTTCAAAGGTTACATTTCATACGACAGTCTGAACCCAAATTTCATATAAATATATAAATATATATATATATTTTACAAAATTCTATATATATATATATATTTTACAATATTCTATATATATTTTACAATATTCTATATATATTTTACAATATTCTATAAATTCTACCGAATGTTTGGCGTTAATATGTTTGTAGATCGTTTTTTCGATTTTTCTCACTAAAGTTTATTAAAATTCAAAATAAACTTATTTTCCGAATTCATGCTGCAAATAAGGCCATATTTCGATTCCGAATGAATCATCATCAGTGCTTTTTGCTGTTTATATAGGGAAATATTGACTTTGAACTTAGATGGAGATTGACTTTGTAAAAATGAACTTAGATGGAAATTAGGTGTCAGGTTTCTTTGGTCTTCTTTTCTTCATCGATGGAATCATATTCTTCTTTGTCACTATTTACAATGCTAGTTTTTATTACTTCTTTGTTTTCGTTGTTGGTTAAGCGCCGGGTTGGTAGTGAGGTTGTCATTTTTTGTTGTATATTTATTTTTGGTTTATTGATGTCAATTAGGACTGCTTCTGCAATTTTAAGATGCGTGTAGTTGCTGTTCTGGTATATTATTTTGGTGTAACTGTCGAGGATTTCACGGCTTATAGTGATTGAGTGTGTCGAGTTCAAATGAGATTTGATAGCACCACTCTGTTTATGCATCGGAAGCCTTCTAGTCAATGAGGTTGTAGTAATCCCGATATATTAAACATGTTGACGTGCACAGCCGTCAAAGGGTCAATTAAATTTATATATTACGTGACACCACTGCTGACATCGTAGGCATTTGATCGAGTTGCTTCCAACTCCAGCCCTACACACCTAACATGGCCACAGGTTCATCGGTGATCATAGTTTTTGTTTTGTCAGAGAACCGCTAGCCCAAGAAGTACTGGATATTAAAAAGATTAATTCACGTCTCATGTGGATCAAGTTTCGCATAGAAAAGCAAACAATGATTATTTTTTCTGCATACGCACCACAGACAGGCGAATCAGAAGAGATGAAAAATGACTTCTGGACTGCATTCTCTGACACCATCTCAACAATACCAAAATTACTTCTGGGTTGCATTCTCTGACACCATCTCAACAATACCAAAATCTGAAACAATCCTGATTGGAGGAGATCTCAATGGCCACGTTGGAGAGAAAACAGATGATTTTGACAACGTACATGGCGGGTTTGGCTATGGAAAACGGAATGAAGATGGCAACCGCATCCTTGAGTTTTGTTTACTGAACATCTCATAGCACACAAAAGTGGACCATCAGCAACGCAAATTGATTTCTTCGCTGTCAAGCAACAACACCGAAGGCTATTCAAAAACGTCAAAGTTATACCTGGCGAATCATGTGTCGCTTAACATAGACTCCTTGCGGCCGACCTGGTTGTCGAACTGTCAAAACATAAGTCTAAACAAATGCCTCAGAGAATCAAAACGTGGAAGTTGAAAAGCAATATTCATCGAGAAAAATTTCAACTGATTTTTAGTAAGTTAGACCACCAATCGCAAGCTAAGACATATTGGAGTGCATACATTGGAGTGTGAAAACTGGTACAAAAGGTCAGCATGAACGGGACGCTTGGTGGTGGAATGACAGTGTACAAAATGCAATAGCTGAAAAGAAAGTTGCATACAAGCAATGGCAAAAATCAAAATCTGTTGATGACCATAAAATTTTCCGTGAGAAGAACAACTATGCAAGACGTCAAGTTGCACTAGTTGATGCCTCATGTATCAAAAACGACGAAAATGGGATGGTTCTTGAACAAGATGAGATCAAGCTACAGTGGAGAGAATACTTCAACCGTCTGTTAAATGAAACAAATCCCATCAATGTCAACTTGGACGCTCCACCCATCGAAGGTCCGATTCCAGACATCACTGTAGAGCTTACAGAAGCTCTGAAAGCTATGAAGGATGGAAAGGCAGCAGGGCTCTCTGGACTCACAAATGACATTATCAAAGCATCTGGTACTGCAGGTATCCAAACGTTACAACTTTGCCGTGAAATCTGGAGAAATTGCTCAATGCCGACTGAATGGAACTATAGCATGACAGTCCCGCTATACAAAGGCAAAAGTGATCCATTGAATTGTATACCCCGATATGAGGAGCATTTCAGTGGGTCTCCTCTTCCTTTATATATTGAACAGTTGTGCTACTGTTCCATTCCACTGGTACTATCGATTTACACCACATCTCCCGACAGATGTGTAAAAAGGTTTTGATGCCTGCCTCATCAGATGCCTTGATGATATCATTTGGAAGCCGCTTTACCCACCTTCATTGCCTACAACGCATTCTTAAGCTCCTCAGCTGTGATGCTCTGAATCCACAGGAAGTGCATCAAAGTCCATCCCGATAGGGTTTGTTTCCTTCAATAGCTTCGTTTCACATGGCCAAACCATCGTAGGCGATGACGACGACATGCACCCTTCAACGTGCACAGACTCGATCGGTTCAGAATCTCGGTTGAATGAATATGTGCTGCATCCAACGAATCATCTTTATATCAGTTCGGTGAAGCTGCTGTTCGAGTTTTGTTGTCATTGGCCACGTCCTCCATCAAACATTAGAACAGAACGTATAGTAGCTTCGATCTTCATCATTCTTTGTTTGAAAGCTGCTTTCTTATTGGAATAGCATTTTGCATAGTTTCGTTCCACCACCAAGTTTCGCAATTTTCCATATACAGCTGTTGCAGCGTTCACTACTAGGGTGTCCTGAAAAGATCTCCAAGTTATGTCTACATTCTCCAGACGATTCAGCTGTATAACGGTCTTCGTTTTGAGACCCGTAGCTAAAGCCTCCATGGACACCGTGGAAACCATTTGCATTATTTCCATCATGGCCGTTGAGGTCGCCAATATCAATGCTATCTCTGATGATGGTGTTTTCCTGACGGCAACTGAGAGTTTGCTTCAGATTCACCTGTCTATGGTGAAAAAACAGAGAAAACGGTCGGAACCTGTTTTCCCATTCTGAGTTTAATCAGCATTAGGCGTGAGCTGATTCGAACTACCTCCAGTACATTTTGTGCCAGTGATTCATTCCCCTATTAAGATTCACACTCCATTTTGGGCTGTTTTTTGGCCATTCCAGAACAACTTCTAATTCCGAATGAGAAACACCATTTGATCTCCATCTTGTTTCCTGCAGAGAACAGATGTCAACCCTTCGCCTTTCCAGCATGTTGACGATCTCCATGGAGCGTTCAGTAAGCGATCGAGTATTTAAAATGGCAAGTCTGATATTCCAGGAGGGGACGTTCGATTTTCCGCAACATGTTGCGTACTTCCTGAATATTGTCACCCCTTGACAATTTAAGGCTTTCCAGGGAATAGAGGTTCTTTTCTCTTTTTGTGATGACATGGAAGATGTTTGGATCAAAAAAATTTTATATCTGGAATTGCCCATTTCCTAACGACAACTACCAGTTATAAGCAGTGGACCTAGCCTTTTTGCTGGAAGCACACAAGCCAGCGCGGTTGCAGTTTATCTCGTGCCAAAGGGAGCACTGTTGTAAGCAGTGCACCTTAGCCTTTGAGTCAAAGGTCCCTGTTCTACAAGATTTAGAATCGATGATCATTTGTTGGAGCCGTTGTCCTAGGACTGCCTTGATCTTCTCCGCCTTTTTCATCGTTGTCTTCTTTCTTCTGGTACAGTTAGTTCGCGGCATCTTATTCCGTATTATTCGATGCAATCCTATAAGGTCTCCCTGCCCAGGTTTTTCCCTATCCACCACCTGGGGACGCGCCTCATAGCCAGTGTACCCCAGCATGAAGCAAAAAGTTAAACATCAGCATTATAATATTTCAATGAAAACAAAAAAAAAGCAAAAACTTTTGAGCCTGCAATAAATCCTGATTTCGTTTTAGCTTCTGCAAGAGAATCAAAAACATAAGGAAAAGGTTGATCAGGTTTCTTAAATTTTGACAGCGGTTTTAAGGATGCTTCTGAAAATGTTGCCTCGCTTCAATTTACAAAAAGTTATATAAAATTAATCTTTATTTTATAATTATTAAAAAGTACAAATTTATGTACAAAAATAATGCCGGACTAAAATGCAATAAATACGTTTCTTATTTTCAAGTCGGGCACTGACAAATCAACATGGATGAAACAGTAGTAAATTAAATTAAAACAGTTTTTGACAAGAATTGCTTTGAAGAAGTTTTACTGCTGAACCTCGTATTGCTGTTGCTTACCACCTTTTATTCTAAGCATTGCTGGCAGCCCCGTTTAAAACCGATAAATTTCTGATTCAGTTTGGCCACTACAATTGTACCCGGTAAACATAAACTTTTGATCTAGGTATGTTACTTTTCCAATGAAATCGATCATTTACTTAAATATCGTCGTTTTTTTTATTCCTTTCGGTTGTAGTTGTAACTTTTCGATTTTTCTTTCATTGCTATCGTAATATTTAGTATTCCCATTATTGAACTTGGTTGGCTAAATCAGCGGTCACAATAGTTCAAAGCAACTGTTTATAAAAATCTTAATGAATGTTGTATTGACAAAATTTTAAGTCC